TCATAGGAATTCCACTACAGCTCAACTAGTCAGATTAAGTGGTTCTTGCAAAAATCAGGATGAAATTTTGTTTCAGAAAATCCCTTTATAACTCAGAAAACAAGGATAACAATGCCCTTTGAGTTGAATTTTTGAAATCTTACCAATCATTCTCAGTTGTACCAACTGATGACATTCTAGGCACTATAGCTACTAACAACATCCATCCTAACTGTGTGATAATAGAGTAGCTTCCACCAAATATCTCTTGATGAAACTCTGATTGATAGTTCAGAAAGTATAGGTTTTAGTGCTCTTGCAGTCCCAAGGTAGTTCATAAATTTGATAGTTAAATATCAACTGATAAATTGGAAAGCAAGGAATGTCACTTCCTTTCAATTCTTGATCTTACAATCAGTGATTGTCCTAACTATTTGTAGGGCAGTTATTCCCAATATTTGGATCTCAGTGGATCAGTAGAGCTATTCAGTGCCCCTTCTTCAAGTACTTCCTCATCTTGAATAGCCACACAATTACTTTAAGCATCTTGCTACTCATCAGCTAAGTCAAGATGATATGAAACAGTACTCTCGTCGTCCACTTACCTGTCAGTCTTGACCTGTGATTTCTGTTCACTCCAGTGCAGATAGATTTATCAGTAGTATATAGTGTTAGTTTGTTGATGTGTTCCACATGCTTATGTGTACCATGTAACAGTTGTACATTGGAGTTAAATGAACCTATCTGATTTAGTACGAAATAATGCCTTGTATGAATTGGTTTCATGCTGGTGGCATATATATAACACCCATACACAGTTTTCATGGCTGTTTATTATAACATATCTGATGCTAAATGGTGGATCTCCATAGCTTAATGCATCAATGCAGACCTTAGCCATTCCATATATTCTTGTAGACACTGCAGTACATCTGCTCAAGGAGGAGACCCTACACCATATCCACAGGAAGCAATGATTTCCAACTAAACATGAACATGTTTGGCAAACAACCTGTCAATCTCTGTTCTTTTGTGTGGTGTGCCATTATGACATATGGCAAATGTTCATCCCATTCAATTTGGCTGGGATTAACAACCTTTGAAAGAATCTACTTGATAGCTTGTATTACCTGCTCTACCAAACCATCATAGTAGGGTGATAAAGTAAAGAGTGTATCTTCACAAAACCCAATGCTTTACACAACTTTGATCCATACGAATTTCTTTAAATGTAAGTTGCAGTATCTGTGGCTTTGATAACACGTAAGCTATGGACTGTGCTGAAGTATCAACCAATGGTTAAGATTTAAGGCCCTTATTGAAATAATCAGTAACAACCAGAATATAACAATTACCTCACTTCATCTCCAGGAGAGGTTATTGTAGACTATTCTCTGTAAAGAACCAACAGTTCTCTGCTGGACCTAAAAGCTTACCATGTCTAGTCCGACTTTTTCGCTGGGCAGAGAAAACCATACAGTATAGACATCACTGCTTAGCATCTTAATCTAAATGTGGCCAGCAGAACCAGTGTAATTCATTAGCCCAAGTGCATGTCATACCTTGGAAACTTCCAGTCCTTGCATTATGCAAAGTCTGAAGAATTTCCAGGCTCAAAGCTATCATCACCACTAGCTGCAACATAGGCATAGGTTAAGAACCACACTTTAATGGCTAAAAACAAGGGTACAGCATACCTTCTTCCATCCACATTTTCTCATACAAATACTACAGGCTACTTGCATCCACACTACATTTCTCAATCAGAGCTGGCAATGCTTCACCTTGTTGCTTTGCATGTAGTGCCTACCCTAGCTTTGGGTCCTTGTTGCTTTTCTCCGAGCTCCTGGACCATTAATCGTAGTATATAGTTACAAGAGGAATTTACTTCCATGTGTCTTAACGTTGCTATGACAGAAATGGCATTAACTCCTACATGGTTTTCAGAGTCAGAACATTTGGTGAATGGACATGGTTTCACCATGCAAAGAGATAATCACTTGGCATTTTCATGTTTGTCTGGACAAAGCAGAATAACAAGGTCATACTCGTGCAATGTTGTTATTCAACATGAAATATTCTCTTCGAATGTTATAAATTTTATAGGCAACTTCAAGGCAAACACACTACCATACAGGTAGTGTAGGTAGTGTTTGATGAAAGACCACATTTGCAAACAGTTCCTTCTTCGTCAAGCAATGTCAGCATTCAGGAACCATGGACATATGATTAGTGTTTGCTATCGCATGTTCCATTATATCCTGCAACTGTAATAACACTACTCTCTTCCCACTATTGCTGGTATTAGCATTCAACAGGAACTCACAGTCTTATCGTATATATATGCCAACACTAGAGTTCTCACTAAAGCATGCCTTTGAGAGAGGAGTATTTTTCCACTTTCCCTGGCCCATCTAAAACGTGCATTAACTTTATTGAGAGCAGATAATGGTGCAACTGTCTCTGAGAAATTGAATACAAGATGTCAGTAATATAACATGAAACCAAGGAAATTGCAGACCTCTCATTTGGTCATAGAGGTCGAGGCCAAACCCATATTACCATTATCTTCATAGGGTAAGTAGATATCACATCTATCTCTACAATATGATCAAGGAATTTCCCCTGAATGTGCATGGGTGCACAGTTTCCTCGTTTCAATTTTAAACTTCCCATTCTTACCTGTTGAAGTACCATTATCAGGTTTTCAGCCATGGACACAAATGTATAGCCAACACCAAGACATTATCAATATAGATCAGGCAAATTTTCCATTGCTGTCCCTTCTGTATAAGCTCCATTAGCTCTGCAAAAGTGGCGGGTGCATTATACAGGCCTAATGGTACAAGTAAAAAAAAATCCAAAAAGGAAGTAAATGTATGGATGACTAATATCAATCCTTTAAAAACAATGCAAACAAGATAGTAAGAATATCATTTGCATCATCCCTACATACTAGCAAAGGCACACAGTGTAGTAGAATGTTAACAGAGAAAAACAGGATAAATTAAACACAGTTGTGATTGAATAGTTATATATATATATATATATAGGTATATGTAAATTATTCCCTGTGTTATTATGCGGGGATGATGCAAATGCAATCCCTACTATTTTGTTTGTATTGTTTTTGAAGGATTGATATTAGCCATCCCTACATTTACTTCCTTTCTTGAAAAGTTTTTCTTTACTTGTCTGCTAATTTTTTTAATACAGTGTTTCAATAGACATAGGAAGGTTGTATTTATAACCGATTTCTAAATACAATGAAGTTCCAATTATAGTATTTATAGTTTATCAATTATTGGCTGGTAATTCTTGTTTCATCCTGTACTTAAGCTTTTTAAAGGAACATCAAATTTTTGTAACGAAGCTAACTTCAAAGGGTAATGATAATGTCGTTTACGCTAGAATTATGTTTTTTTAACTTAATGCTAGTTATTAATGATACTTATAAAAGCGGATACTCCGTTTGAAACTATGGTACTTCAATGAAATTGGTTGACATCATTGTTTTGGTTTTTGAGTTATCACGTAATAAAAAAGAAGTAGAAGAAAGAAGAACAAGAAATACAAACTTTTTAATATGTCATTTATAGACATTCCCAGAACTTGTGATGTAGTCATGACATAAATATTGTTATAAAAGGAAACACTGTAAATTTCTGATGAACTATTGAGGACATATTCAAAATACAATTTCAATGAACAATCCAAGCCATTCCTACATAGGCAGCGCTACTGCATGCCTGATGATGTAAAACTCTTACAAACCATTTCAAGTTCTGAATATAATTTTAAATCCACTTTTAACATCCAGATTAACTTGGAAGTATCCAGATGCCATGTCTAAAATGTTCAACTATTGCGTCCTTTCCAATGAATCCATTGTTCATCCATCCCTAAGATATCTATGTCAGAACCAAGGTTGGAAATTATTACCTTCATTCAGTGGCTGATTTTACCTAGACATATTAATACTGGTAATATACGACCTTATAACACCTAATTTGTTATTTTTCTTTAATTGGACACTCAATGTTTCACTTTAAAACTTCTTCAAGAGCTACAAAAATACAAACTGTTTTAATGCAACAAATGAACTTACTCAGTCTGCCATATACATAGATGAAGAATGGCGTTCGCTCAAAACGCTGTAATATTTTGTTTTTCATATAAAGCTACTCTCATTTTTATGCTCTTTAAAGGGAGAGAGAATTTATTTTGACTATTTAACATTAAACTGGTACTTGAAGTGAAGTCGATTATTTTCCTTGTATTAGTTACAAGTAACGCCAGAAAAAAAAAAGAGAGGGCATTGAAAACAGATCAACTGCTTAGAAACGATGAAAATAAAATAACTATTAAACTATTTAACTATAATAAACACTAACATTTAAATAGCTAATTAACTGAAAAAAGCACGTGAACTATAGTAACTATTAAGACAACTTAACTATGGGAAACATTAAAAATAAATTAACAATTAAATTAATTAGCTATGATAAACATTAACGATAAAATAACCTCTAAGCTAATTAATGAAGAAAAAAATTTAAATATAGTAACTATTAAAACAACTTAACTATGGGAAACATTAAAATAATTAATTATTCAATTAATTACTATGAGAAATATTAAAACGCAGTAATTATTAAAATCAGGGCCATTAAAGAGAAGAGAATGAATTCTGCGCCGTTGAGAAATTTAAATAACGAAGACAGTAAGGTTAAGCTTAACCTTACTGTTTTCATTAATTATTAAAATCAGCTCACTATAAAAAAAATATAATGGTCCAATAAATATTAAAACCAATTAATTATGATAAACATTAAATATATACCAAACTATTAAAACCAATTTGAATTTTAAAAAGTTACAAATACAACAACTATTTGAAGAAAAAATATTTCAAAGATCCAATTGTGTTTCCACATAACTATAACATCTTATGGTAGAATATTCTTGATTATATTTTATAATTCTTTAAAAATTTGTTTTAAATTTTTCTATATTTTTAGTGAAATGTTCCGAGGATGAAGAACGCCTTGTGCGCGACCTCTTCAGGGATTACAATAAACTTATTAGGCCAGTGGAAGCAACAAACAAAACAGTAGAAGTGCGATTTGGGCTATCTTTCATCCAGCTTATAAACGTGGTAAATATTTCAGTCTACTTTAAGTGGGATGTTAATATTTTGTGAAAATATGATACTTCAGATGAGAGGCATACATTTCCTGGAGTACTTTTTTATTTTTTGGAGACAGCTAGGAATTGCGTTTTAAGAAAAATAAGTTTTTTGAGTACTTCTTTCAAGCAATCTTTATGCTTATTCTTATGTACAAATGCTTAGAAAAAATTTTCTTCGAATATTTGAATACTTTCACTCAAAATTTCCGGACAGTGTATATCTAGTGCTCCAGAAGTGTGGCATTCAAATCTCAATATTCGGTCGGACAATAGTAACATAAGGGTTGCGCTGGGTACCGTTAACTAGCTGCTATTACTCTAGTCTATCAGCTTAAACTTATGGAACCATTGAAATAGAGTAACTATTAAAACACCTTAACTATGATGAACATTAAAAATAAATTAACAAATGAAATTAATTAGCTATAGTAAACATTAACCATGGAACTATGAAATAGTTCTTAAGCTAATGAACGAAGAGTGACATTAAAATTCGGTTAGACAAGATTAACATAAGAGTTGGCGGTGGGTACTGTTGATTAGCTGCCTTCCCTATTGGTGTTTAATGTGAATCTATTTTCTTTTAAATCATTTATTGATGTTTACGATGAATCCACCTTGTTTTTATTCTTCCTTTATAGATGTTTACTTTTAATGCATTATCATTCTTGACATTCCATTCCAGATTTTATCAGTCCTTTACTAGTGTTTATTTTCAATCCACTTTTCTTTCTACCATTTCTTTATCGATGGTCGATTTAAATCCGATCTTGTTTTCATCATTCCTTTGTTTTAATCTTCTTTTAATCAGTTTTTAATTAGAATCCACTTTCATTTTAATTATTCAGTAATTTCTTTATTGGATTACGATGAATCCCCCTTTTTATTGTTCCTTTATTGAGGTTTAATTTGAGTCCACTTTCGTTTTAATCTGTTAATAATTCCTTTATTGGTGTTTACTTTGAACCCACTTTTGTGTCGTCTATTTGCTGAAATATAGAAACAAAAATGCGTTATCAATTTCACATTCTGTACAGAATAACTCTTAACATATTCGCAGACCTAAAGTAATTTACAGTTATGCACGAATGTATGTAAAAATATTTTACACTTCATGAAAAAAGTAAATTACTTCAGTATGTATCTAATTAAATTGTAAAAATTAATGTGCAAACATGTAGATGCAGTTAAGTAGCAAACTGTAAGAAATATACTTTAAAATAATGCTAATGTATTCAATACCAACGAGTTAAAACACTGTTGCAAATTAAGTAAGTCACACACACATACATATACATAACTTATGCAGTGAAAGTACAAAGTACCGAGGGCTTACACACCCAGACATATATTTGTTCTTCTTTTCTCTTACCTTCATATGTCAAGTATGCATAGGGTAGCGTTCAAATCGGCTTATATAAAATTTGATCGAATCACTACAGGGTGGAGCAGCTATTGGTCAAAATACACTGACAGCCATTTATTCCACGAGCAAAATCCAAGTTGATTTAAGCACAATTTGGACAAATCAATGTTGGGTGGGTCACTCATCACTGTGCTCCAACATATTTCTCCTATAATCAAAAAGTAATATGTTATTTCTTCTTTTTGAATTTCTGTCAGTTTAATTATGTGAATTAAAGTGATTGAACTGGGTGATTTCTTCGTACAAACTCCATCAATCCCATTTAATCTCCGGCACGACAAAATGAAATTTCTAAAGACATTGAGAAACCAAACTTTAACACTCACCGAAATCGTCATTCAGACTCATAAAACAAAAATAGAATGTATAAGTATTGAGCAATGACCTGAACGGTAAACAAAAACCTAAACAACCTTGTTTTATTTACAGAACGAAAAGAACCAGATAATGACATCCAATGTCTGGCTGCAGCTGGTAAGATTCTATGTATTTGTTTGTAAAACTAATATGGATGAGGTACATGTTGCATTAGTAACAACATTTGTTCACCGTGATGGTTTCGTTAACAGCACTCTGCTTAATCTTAGCGATTCTTCTTACTATAAGTGTTTTTAATACATTATAATTATATGTTTAGTGCTCACGAGGTCTATTAAATCATAGCCTGGTGTCTTGTTTCCTCGCTGTAACACTGTAACTACTTTACATACTGATGCAATTTTTATTCTATTTTTTGTCTATAGTAATACCATGTTCTACGCACTATGTTCTTGATTTTGACGTAACAACGTACTGCACCATTCTAGTTTAGGCCTTACGATACGCTCCGGTGCTACGCCATATTCCTTAGTTTAGGTGTAAATATGTATATTTCTATATTACATTATGTTCTGCAGACCCTGTTTTTTTGTATGCTTTAGCATTATCCTATTGTATTTTACTGTGTTCTTTAGTTTAGGTGTAATTTTACTTCGGTATGTTTTTTATTTATAGTATAATTTCAGTATCACACCCTGTTCTCTAGTTGAAGTATAATTTCAATATTACACGTAATCTCTAGTTGAACTATAATTGCAGTATCACACCCTGTTCTCTAGCTGAAGTATAATTTCAATATTACACGTAATCTCTAGTTGAACTATAATTTCAGTATCACACCCTGTTCTCTAGCTGAAGTATAATTTCAATATTACACGTAATCTCTAGTTGAACTATAATTTCAGTATTACACCCTGTTCTCTAGCTGAAGAGTAGTATATATTTTAATAGTGCACCATGCATTATCTTTAGTTGAAATGCAAACATATATTTATCAACCTTTGTGCTTTCTCACTCTGATGAGAAACATTATTCTAAAATGTTTCGGGATATGTTATTGCTGTCATTTATATTTGTATTGCATTTCAAATTCTCTACATTTGAAATTACTATCGTTTAAGATTTTATATTAATTTATTTAGTTTTAATCAGGATTCGGTTAACATCTTAAATGCATCACTATTTTACATCCTAATTATTTAATTACTGGTGCAGTTAATACCTAAATTTTAAACTAATATTTTTAATCGTGACATTAGAACAGCTTTTAAACTTTTTTTTTCAGTGTACAGTTTGGTTGTGTTATTGAATAAGCATTTATGAAACAATTGTCAATATTCTAATATAATTTATTTCTCAAGTGTCATATCTAAATGGTGCTCAATTTTCATTTATTGAGACATCACCAATTAGTGAACTACATGTTTTTATCCTGAAGTCCTAAAACGTACTTTCTATCAAAAAATAAGTCTAGCATTCTCATTCCTGTGTTAGTTTTTATTATTTTATTTACAATAACTACAACTACTAAGATGTGGAGTTGTGTGATTCTAGTGTCCCATTTTCTAGAACTAGTTACTGTTCACACTTTTAGAACTCAAGTGGTACCAATACCAACTACATTGTATGCTACATTTGTTTTCATCCTGTAGTCCTGGGATGATTACCAGCTTCGTTGGGATGAAGCAGACTACGGAGGAATAAATGTACTACGATTACCCCCAGATAAAGTCTGGAAACCAGATATAGTGCTCTTCAACAAGTGAGTGTCTGATGTAAATGATGATTTTGCTTTTTTTTAAAAAATATTTTCCAGAAAATATTGCACAGTTATCCGATTCATCATTGGTTGGTCATGAAATCGTTAACTGGAGTTCCTGCTAGTTAGTTTAGGAGTTCAGCTGTTAATACAGTTTTAGTGTTTATGTTCTTTACAGCACGATAGTCGATAAATATGAAGTCACTTAACTATTGTCTATTTTTGGTGCATTTGAATTATTAGCAGAGCGCTAACAACAGATTAATGCAGTCACTAAGTGTATAATTAAAAGATCATAACTATAGATTAGGAAACGGTGGAATAGGTGTTCAAAATTAGTCTAAAGATAACACATTATTTCAATAGAGTAAAAGCGAATGTCTATATTTAATGGCTTTGACTAGCAGCAGATCATGTGTCATTTATTTTAGAAAAAAATAAGTAATTTTAAGAGCGTTATTTTTGCTAAATAAATTTCTAAAACGATAGAAAGCTGGTCTGGGGGAACCACAGATCATGAAAACAGAAAACCTACTTTTTTTTCCAACTTTAAAAAAATATTTTTTACATATTTTTAATACAACAGTATGAAACCTTTCTGCTAAAGGTTATATTTCGAATCTTAATATAAATCATGAAACATTAAAAGGATTTTTAACAAGCCTTGAATAACCTTTCTAAAACTCTTTAAAATTAAACATTCATCTCAATAAGAAAACAATAACTTCTCTTTCTCTCTCGAGAGAAAAGTGCCCGTTCTGCTAGTGTTATCTAATATTTTATGCTTCTACAATATACTCTTGTGCAAGTGACATTTCTACTAATCATTTAGTTGGTTTAATAAATACAGTTACTTTTTAAAATTTCATCTCGTGGGCTTAAGAACATCTCCTTTTATTCGTTCTTTTACAACTGTCAACTTTTCTGCATATTCAAGTCGAATTCCTTTAAGATATTTTTTTTCTATATAATATCTTTCAGATCTTATCATAGCTTTAACAAATTATTTTACACGGATATCGTTCTATCCATTGAAAAATCCTATTGGCAATTCTAAACCAGATTTATTTACTACATTTTTGTTTTCTTGGATGAGAATTGTTTTTCTTAGACTAGTCGTAGTTCCTGAACCTAAGACGAAATTCAGTAAAAGTCCGGAATTACCATGTCAAGCATATTCTGTACAAGACAAAAAAATCTTAAGATCCAAGACATAAGTTTTACTAGATCCAGATAAAACTTTGATTGTTTATATATGTTTGTAACGCTGTTTTACATTCTTTGTTTGTAGAAGCGTTATTCAAATAAACTTTAATAAAATAAAAATGTATGACTAGTGTTGCTTCTGTTTAACCTTATAATGACCTTGGAACATTATAATTGATCTTTCTGGCCTTTTAACCTTGAACTCTTTTTCAAATGGAATCTGACATACACGTATAAAAAACACGGTTTTACACACGATGACTAGAATTTTAACTTTGAATATATAACCTACTATATTTCAATGCGATAAAAATATAAGTGTTAAGATCCTTACATTAAAACATATTGTGTTTAGTTTAAAGATAGACAGGTTAATCCGAATAATGTTCTATGAATTCTGTCATTTTAATGGTAGTAAAATATTAACACAGGCATGGCTAGAGAATATAAGACATAAAACAAGAAGAAACAACTGGAAAGAAACCGAAGCTCTATACTTGTACAGTGTTGTTTGAAAGAATTAGGCTTACGCAGAAAAGTAATCAAACAGAAACAACAGAAATGTAAGAACCAATAGAAGTTAAGTTATGAATTCAGGTATAAGAGCTGTAAAAATGTTATTCAGTACTCTGACCAAGTTTTACTCTACGACTTTTCACCAAACCTGATTAGTTTCAGAAAGAAAATACGTGTTTCAGTTTGTAACAGTAGGTGGGGACCGTCATATATTTCAAAACAGATGTATTTTGTTTTTGTTTTTCAAGGTTGCATTTTTACGACAAAGCACATTTTATGAACATCTTCCAAAGTTTAGGTCATTATGGTAGAATTTCTTAGTCGAACTAAATCCAACAAATGACAATATTAATCCTTTCAGATTTCTGAGTACTAAATTCCTATGAAGCAAACGCGAACAGATTAAACCTTAACACAAAGCTGTTACTAAACTTTAACGTGTTTTGTCGCCATAAGTAAGAACTGAAATGAAGCTATTCACACAAAACTAATTAAAGTAACTAATCACGTAGGGAATAGTTTGATGTCGTGTTTTAACACTTCATTAGACATACATACACCATGTCAGGACATCAATGACAGTTGTTGTTTTTTTCTGTTTCCAAGCGTCTACAAACGTCTGTGTTGTATATGAACACCGATGGATTGTTTGACTGTGAATCATTCATTCTAGTACGCATGCGAAGTAGGAGCGAACGTAAATTTAAATTATAATTAACTATATAGCTGATAAAGTCATCTAGCTAGTTAGAGTTTATATAATTTTCGAGGTACAAGCCTGGCCTAGTGGTTAGCATATCGAACTGAAGATACGAGACGTGGTGCTACTACGTTCGTTTCGCACTTTCAACTGTCGGTGTGAAAAAAAAAAGAGATACAGGTAATCCCGCTATTCAGTGAAGGTTAGTCGCTTCAAGATACGGGTTCTACTTTCTCTCTTGCTAGAGACAGTTACGTCTGAACCTTAGGGATCTCTCACCCGGCCACTCCTCGTGCGCATGCGCATTAGATGTCGTTCAGGTGAAAAAACACACAAAGAGTATATGACTAAAACAGATTGTATTTCATAGTTTTATACAAACTAAGGCGATCTCAGTTTAATTTATTCAGACTTAAGATATTGTACAGAAAAGCTGCTTTAAAATATTAAACAAGATGCTATTATTTTCTATTGGAATAGAAATGAATGAATAATAGATTGTTTATTACCACATGATTGCCAGTCTCCCTTTAATTGACTTCGTTCATAACAAAGTTATTTGGGATTTATTAGTTTATTCTGTTCTTTTTTTTTTACAAACAGCGCTGACGGTAATTACGAAGTCCGGTACAAATCGAACGTGCTAATCTACCCTAGTGGAATGGTGATGTGGGTGCCACCTGCCATCTATCAAAGCTCCTGTACAATTGACGTTACCTACTTCCCCTTCGACCAACAAAAATGTGTCATGAAGTTTGGGTCATGGACTTTCAACGGTGATCAAGTGTCCTTAAAATTGTACGATGACAATCACTGGGTTGATTTGTCGGCTTATTGGAAAAGTGGGACTTGGGACATTGTGGAAGTTCCAGCCTTTCTCAATGTGTACAATAATTCGAAAGAAGGAAAACCCACAGAAACTGATATTTCATTTTATATTACAATTAGACGGAAAACACTCTTCTACACAATCAATCTGATTTTACCAACTGTTTTAATTTCGTTCCTGTGTATCCTTGTATTTTACCTTCCGGCCGAAGCAGGAGAAAAAGTTACTTTGGGTATATCTATTCTCTTGTCCCTAGTAGTGTTCTTATTGCTGGTTTCAAAAATCCTGCCTCCAACTTCTCTGGTTCTTCCACTTATTGCAAAGTATCTTCTCTTCACTTTCCTCATGAATACGGGATCAATTCTGGCTACAGTAATTATCATTAATTGGAACTTCCGCGGGCCAAGGACCCATAGAATGCCGAATTGGATTCGCATAGCATTCTTAAAATACTTACCAATTCTCCTCTTCATGAAGAGGCCGAAGAAAACTAGGCTAAGGTGGATGATGGAAATGCCTGGGTATGGTGTCCATCACCATTATCATGGGTCATCAGACACAAAGCCACGAAATGTAAAAAATAAAATGGAATTAGTTGAGCTTACAGATATCCACCATCCTAATTGTACAGTTACAAGGAAGTCTTCTGTAGAAATGGAGGTCAAACTGAAAGAGAGCGAAACAACAGACATGTTGTTTTTAACTCCGGAAGCTTATCGAGCTACGGAGGCCGTTGAATTCATCGCAGAGCATCTACGAAGCGAAGACGAATACGTTCAGGTGAGTTAAAAGTTTTACGTTTTTCATAAATATTTAGGTTGCTTTAGAATTAAATGTAACGCTCTTCATTTAATTTGTTTTCTTTAATTCCATCTACAACTCTACAGCTTGTTGAAAACAGTTGCTAACATTTGCAAGTTGCTTTTCCAGTCATGCCAAAGTTCACGTTGTAAACCTACTGACCCAAGTAGATAACTTTATAAATCTCACCCCATTCCCACCCCACCCCCCAGTGGCTCAGCGGTACGTATGCGGGCTTATAACGCTAAAAATCTGGTTTCGATACTCGTGATGGGCAGAGCACACAGAGCCCACTGTGAAGCCTTTGTTCAATCTTCATATAGTTCATCATTTCCTGAACTTATTTTTTTTTTCATATATGTTGTCATTGACTATACATTGATTTATAGTGTATTAAAATGGTAAGTTGCAAAATAGTTTAGTAAGGAAGATGTTATCAAGAAAAATAAAATGCTCTAATTAATGGTATTAAACTGTAGTTAATTCGTTTATATATTTAGAGATAACAACTTTTGTTTAACTCGGAAAATATTTCTTGTAAATTTGTAGCTAAAACTTTAAGAAACATAAGTCGAAATTATATATAAGGTATTTGTATACGTGTTTTATTAGCAAAAATATTCAGGATCTGTAAGTTAATGTCCAGTCTCAAATGAAATTTGTTCATCTTCCTTATCTTCTTATCTCATCGCTCCATGGGTCAGCAGTAAGCATTAGGATTTATAATTTTAAAATTTGGGGCTTGATACCCACAGTAAGCACAACACAGGTAATCCATTTTGAAGAGTTGCGCTTAAAAACATAACAAGTTAACATGTCATTAAACGTGGTGCATTGAAAGCGAATTTTATACAACATCTGTTTGACGAAATTATTAATTTCATATCATCTGTAAGATTTCATATATATTTGAAATTGTGCTTTTTTATGTTTTAGTGAAAACAGTATATTTCGAGAAACAGAACTTAATTTCTAATGAATTTTACAATACCTAATTACTGGTTTACATTTTCGAACATGATTTTACGCTGAAAGTAATGAGAAGTAATAAGAAATTGCTTTACAAAGGTTTTAGCTTTTAAATTCATATTGCGACTACAGAGCGGTCTTAGAAAGCTTTTGGGCTGTAACAAAGATGAAACTTTATATATGATAAAGTGATTTATCTTTCACTTTTGTTCTGACCTCGGAATTTCTTTTCTAGGAATAACATAATTATTATGTCACAGTAATCTTTCAGAGCTCCGAGGTAAAAAAAACAAACATCAAACGTTAAGTTTGAAGAAAAAGAGAGAATGAGAGGTAAATTACGTTACTGTAATTTTTTATTTATAAAAAATAAATACAAAACTATTGGAATTCAGCTACAAACCAGAGGTGTGGTTGTTAAGGAACATTTCTGAGGTTGAAGAACAGTTAAAATGACTAATTAGATTTGGAGTATGTGTTAAAAGATTTTTTTCTCATAGGTATTTTAGAAGTGAGTCCAACACAGCGATTGCGATATAGTCTATCAGAATTAACATATATTCTGAAGCTTCGTAAGTGAAGTGAAATTAGGTTTAAAAATTTGGAATACACATAAATGCTCTAGCTTGCAAAGTTTGAGATCTCTATTGGTTGCAGAAATTTTTGGGATAATAGTTGTTCCCCAAAATGAAAATAGGGCATTACAAACGTATTGTTTAGGATAATATATACGTTATAACTCAATTAGTACGTATGCTTGTATTTTTATTTTTGTTACCTCCACCGCCAAAGATGACGGAGGTTATGTTTTCACCCCTGTATGTGCGTTTGGTTGTGTGATTGTCAGCAAGATTTCTCGAAAACGGCTGAATGGATTTGGACAAAAGTTGATATACATTTGGAATATGACCAAACGTAGAAACTATTAGTTTTTGGACGGCCAAGGTCACGAAAATAAAACAAATCCCTATCTTTTACCATGGGGACCGATTTTTCAAACTATTTTTGCTCTTTACGTCATGAGGATGTTGAGTGATGTCATGAATTACTGGAATAAGGAGGGTAACTTTCAAACTTCTTTATTTGTTTAGTATAATTCCTTAATGTTTAATAAAAAAAGCTATTTACAGGTTGAAGTACCCCATTAAAATACAAGGGTTCATTAACTCACAAGCTTTCCAGCTCTCTAAATAACCTTTCGTACGATAGAATTACAACATTAACCTAGTGGTTACAACCACTGGTTCTGTCATAGCATGGTGGCTAAGGCCCACGACTCGCAATTGGTCGGTTGTGGGTTTGAATCCCATCCCTGAATATGCTCGCCCTTTTAGCCATGGATATGTTACAATGTGACGGCCAATCCTACTATTGGTAATGAGAAGCCCAAGAGTTGGCGGTAAGAGGTCTTCACTAATTGCCTTCCTTCTGGGCACTCAGTATAGCGCATGCCTCCGCCACGACCGATTTTTCAAACTGTTTATGCTCTATACTTCACTTTAAAATGATCAGATTTTGATAAAACTTGGCAGAAATATGAAGAATATTTTTCTTCATTATCCTGCCAAAAATGGTCCGTGTCCGTTGATAATGACGGACACACGGAAACATTTTCGTTTATTTGAAAGCCAAATATGATCAATGCTGCCGTGTTAACAGATAGGGATTTTCTGGATTTTCGTGAGCTTGAAAAACTAATCACTTCTAAGTTGGGTCATAGTCCAAAGCCATTCAGCTGTTTTCGAGAAATTTAGCTGACAAACGCACAAATAAATACATACAGGGGTAAAAAACATAACAAAACTTAGTTATTACTAGAATGCAGGGCCAAAAGAAAAGGCAATAACAAAATGAAATTTAATAAAGAAACTGGTTTTTTTTTTCATGACCTTGCTGTGACTTTGACCCTCCAAAAACTAATCACTTTTAAGTTTGGTTATATTCCAAATGTATACCAACTTTCGTCCAAATCCATTCATCCGTTTATGAAAAATCTTGCTGACAAACACACAAATAAACACACACACACAGGTAGCGGAGATAATTAGGGACAATTAAGGCAGGCAGCCCTTAGGGTAGCTTTGGTCAAAATTCAAAACAAACAAACAAACAAATACAACAGTTGTTGTAATTTCACCTGCAAAATAGCTCTTTAAAGAGCTGGAAAGTTTGTAGGTAAATACAACCTTATATTTTAACGAGAGTTTATTTTCTACATTAAAACATCCACATTTAAAATCACATGGAAACGGTATTACGTTTCATTGTGTTATTCATCTGCATAGGAGTTGGAACGTTGTGAGTTGTTTTTGTAATATCCCGGATGTTATTTTTACGAGGTTCTGTTCCGTTAGGAACAACTGTCTTCCTACTACGACAGGAGATGACGAAAGGTAGTTTTAGATGTATTTGAGCACCAGTATCCGCTTCTGCAGTTTTTAGTTTTAACTTCATTTTTTGCGTTTTAGGCATACGAATAGAAATTAAATCCGATAGAAAGTGTGTCCCCACCACAGAGTAAGTTTTACTTTGGCAGATATATCATACCATTACTACGATGTAGGAAATATTTTAGTATTTACTATGTCTTTATATATGCTACACTGTTTGTTTTAGGCTTAGTTGTTTGAAACTAAAGAAATCGTAATAGGTGTGAGGTGAGGTGTTGTTGTATTATGCAAATTTTCCTTTAGGTTTAATTTCTAAAGTAATTGTTGAGTTTTCTTTGCAAATATATTTATGCGTATTTATCCTGCTAGTAAGTTATACTAATATTGATCAGGTGCCTAAGAATTATTAAAAATTTCAATCTTCAAGTTTAGGTATTCTAAAAAGCGTTATCAAAGCAAAAATTTCAACTAGTAAATAATATATGACAGATTCAAACATATTCACATCTATCAAATGTAGGTGATGTAAATGATAATAAATATTTGCTTTCTGTTTTTGAAACTTCTCTCATCCTCCCACACATGACGTGATGTAATGTACTTAGTGTCATGTCTTACGCAAAATCACGCTAACTTTCTTTTTAGTTTCCCTTTTGTCTCAAAAATGTAAATTACAGACTATTTTGTTTCTACTTTCGTACATTCAGCACACTCTAAAAGGTAGGATTGTGACGTCACAACCTTATGGCCTTCAATCAAAATTTTGAAAGCGGAATATAATTTATTTAAAATGTTTTTTTTTATGAATAAAATCCATTATTTTAATAAAGACTCTACTTCCCACGTAATAAATGTTTTTCAGAAACATGACGTTCTACGGCACTTTAAAGTATTACGGCTAGTGCTACTAAATTTAGTTAGTTCCTTCCTTTCAAACTTATATGTCTTGATAAAATAGAATAAATCTATAAAAGTATTAACTTTATAAAGAAAATAATATATCGTTTTAACGTTTTCACAATACGCATATAATATATTTTATGTAGTTTTATTTCTTTGAGAAATATGCCAGTCTGTAAAAAATAATGCCAAACTAATCAGATGTTCGTAGAATGTATACATCTACAAACTGTACAATTCTGTAACTAAGTTTTCTTAGTCAGAAAATATTATTTATGAGATTATATCAAAAATTCTTTATCTCTTTCTTTAGCAAAATGAGACAACGAATAATGTAAAGACCATAAGGTCATCTAGTCAAACTGAAATCGACTTTGATTAAAATCTTTATCTAAAAGTAACATAGCCCCCTCCCCAGTGGCACAGCGGTAAGTCTGTGGACTTATAACGCTAGAAACCAGGTTTCGATACCCGTGGGGGCACAGATAGCCCATGGTGTATCTTTGCGTTTAACTACAAACAAAATCGAAGCAGTAATGTGAATAAATAAACTAAAATATATACGGAACAATGCTGTATCAAAATACAGATGAATATATACGGAACAATGCTATATCAAAATACAGAAGAATATATACGGAACAATGCTGTGTCAAAATACAGAAGAATATTCATTTTCGTGATCAATGACTAAAGTGATAATTGATACATGATGTTAGA